TTCTTTTTTGTTAGTTCAGACTAACAAAAAAGGCCTTTTGCAAAGAAATGGAGGAAAAGGATAGGGAACACATTTGATTTGTGTGTGTGTGTGTGTGTGTGTGTGTTTTGCACTGGGAATTGAACCCAGGGTCGGACCCGTGTTTGATACATGCTCTGCAAATGAGCTACGTCCCCAGCCTTTTACATTTTATTTTGAGACAGGATCTCCCTAAGTTGCCCAGGATGGCCCTGAACACATTTAATTTAGGAAAACAGGTATGTCTTTAAGAGAATGAAAAGACAGACCACAGGCTAGGAGAAAATATTTGCCAAACACATAGCTAATAAAGGATTGATATCCAAAATATACCAAGAACTCAACATTCAACCATAAGTAAGCAAAAAAACTCAATTAAAAAATGGGCAAAAGACCTTCCCAGATACCTCACCCAATAAGATAAATGAATAGCAAATAAGCATATGAAAAGATGTTCCATACTACATGTCATCAGAGAAACACATATTAAAACATCAGCAAGATACTACTATATATCTACTAGAATGGCCAAAATGCAACATACTGCTACCACCAAATACTGGCCAAGATGTGGGGCAACAGGAAATCTCATTTGTTGCTGGCGGGATTGCAAAATGGTATAGCCACTTTGCAAGATAGTTTGGCAGGTTTCTTGAAAAAGTACATATTCTCTTACCTAACCATCAGCAATTGTGCTCCTTTATGTTTACCCACACGAGTTGAAAACTTATGTCCACACCAAAACCTACTCACATATTCACAATTGCCCAGACCAAGATGTCCTTCAATAGGTTAATGGATGAACAAAATGCAAGACATCCATACAATGGAATATTATTAATCATTACAAAGCAACAAGCTGGGCTGGTGGTGTAGCTCAGTGATAGAGCACATATTTAGCATTCTTGAGGCCCTGGATTCAATCCCCAGCACCAGGAAAAAAAAAAAAAAAAGCAATGAGCTATCCAACCATGGATAGCATGAAGCAGCCAGGCACAGTGGTGCACGCCTATAATCCCAGCGACTTGAGAGGCTGAGATAGGAGGATTTCAAAATTTAGTGAGGTCCTAAGCAACTAGTGAGACTATGTCTCAAAAATTAAAAATAAGAAGGCCTGGGGATGTGGCTCAATGGCAAAGTGCCCTGGGTTTAATCCTCAGTACTTTTTTTTTAAAAAAGTACTTTAAACCTTAAATACATATTGACTACATATTGCTAGAAAGAAACCAACCCCAAAATGCTTCACATGATAAAGTTTCAACTATATAAAATTGCAAAAAAGGCAACAGTATGGGGATAACAGAAAGATCAATGATTCCAGGAGGTTCAGGGAGGAAGGGAAGGATGATAGGAGAACGGGGGATTTTTAGGCTTAATACCCTTTGTGTATAACACTCTAATGGAGGATACATGTATGCATTTGTCCAAACCCATAAAATGTGCAACACAGTCAGCCCTAATGAAAACTATGCACTTCAATTAATGATAATCTATTAGTATTTGTTCATTGATTGAAATCAATGTACCACCTAAGTGCAAGATATTAATAATAGAGGTATTGGGAAAGGAGAGGATATATGAAAACTCTATAATTTCTATAAAACTAGAACTGCTTTATTTTTATTTTTTTTTTCTAGAATTGCTTTAAAAAAGTTTACTAATTAAAAAACCCCCACAAAGATGACTCTGAAAGAGTATGGGAGGAAGGATGGCGTGAGAGGAGCCAAAGAAAGTGAGGCCAACACAAGCTAAATCTTTCACGTCACCACGAGGGCAGATTTCTGATGTGGTGTTTTCCTGTGGCATTTCACAGAGTCTGGTGGGCTGGGTGTGGTGGTGCATGCTGTGATCCCAGTTACTCAGGAGGCTGAGGCAGAAGGGATCACAAGCCTGGGTAATTTAGAGAGACCCTGTCTCAAAATAAAATATAAGCAGGGCTGGGAATATAGCTCGGTGGTAAAGCATCCTTGGACCAAAAAAAAAAAAAAAAAAAAGAGTCCAGCAGGTGAATTTCAGTTACCGACCAGTTGAAGAGCAGCCCAGTGTTCACTGAGTACTAGTAATGGTATCACAGACTGCCATCACAGGGAGGGAGGGGAAGAAGAAAGAGACTTTTCAACTGAGTTTAAAGAACAGGAAGTAGAAGAGTCCAGTGGCTTTTGTAGCCTCTAGCATTTGAACAGCTCTTCAAATAAACCTTCTGAAGTTTGGAGTTGTAGCTGGAGCTGCCAGATTTGAGCGACCTTGAAATAACAGTGATGATGAGCTTTGATGTGGTGGTTTTTGCTGCATTCACAATATTTAACCTGTGTGTGTGTGTGTGTGTGTGTGTGTGTGTGTGTGTGTGTGTGTGT